AAAAAAAAAAAAAAAAACCACACCTCCTGAGGTTTATTCTCCTACACTGAATCTTCTCCCCAGCTCCTTGGAATAACCTCAAGCAGGAAAAAGAGACTACAAATTTGGGAAGAGTAATAAAAGATTGGGGGACTCAAGTGATGGTGTATTTGATTCTTTGAATTGATAGAGGAGAAAGCATAAGATTATATCCTAAAAAGCACTGTTAAGAAGAGATGGGCTCTGCCTCTTAAAAAGGGGAGGGCCATTTCTGAACATAAAATTGCTATGAAGTTCAGACTTTAAACTAAGATTATATGAGACTGGTAACATAAATCCATGGCTATATGTAAAAACAGAGGCCTAAGGGATACAATAAGGGAGTGAGATTATCCATAACAAGGTTATTGGAAGAGCAGGGAGGAGAAAAGTCAGTCAGTCAGTCTGCATGGCGTCTGCAGTGGTCTCAGAACAGCTTTATTCCCGGTACAAAGTGAGAAGCAAGGGCCTTTTGTCCAGGACCACCTAGTCTATGCCACATCACATCATGCATAGCTACATGAAAAAGGACACAAAGCCCAGGGACTGAGGAGGACCTGCAGAGCCAGGCTGTGATGGGAAAGGCACTCCCTGGTAGTGGTATGGCATCTGTTTAGGTAGACTTCTTGAACTGCAAAGCATCTCCATAACCTCTCCGACCATTTATTTTAGGAGCTCCTGACACCACTGGTCAGTAGCAGAGAGATCAAGCAATCGAGGCACCAGGAGCACATGGAGGCCCAGCTGGCAGAGGGGCCATGGCATGACACTGAACTGTAAGCACGAGATTCAGATCTGACTTCTAGCAAACCAGAGGGGAGAACAATCACACATCTTATGAGGATGCACAAGACTTGACAGATCTGCACAAGGATTTGGGATCCTTAACTCAAGACACTTCCTGATACATCAGTCTAATCCTCACTCAACAGAAGCTCATCACTGACYTCCAGTTCCCATTCAGCTTTGACATGTCCACTGCTTCCAGGTGGCCTGGAATGCACCACGCTGCCCTTTCAAACCATTTCAGCCTGGGGACTTCACAAAGCAATCACCGCCACAACCTACAGCACTGTCTTTGTGCTCCCCACATCTCTGCATCAACTCCAATTGCAGTGAAGCTGTGTGATCCTGAGACAGGCAGGCACAGTTCTTTTGCAGCTACTTCTAAACCAAGAAGTGGCTGATAATCTGCAATTGCTTTACTTTAAGCAAACAGGAAAAAGCACTGCCTCCACAGCTCCACTCAAGGATCAGCATTTAACTAACACTTGAGGCTGTCTCTCTGAACACTGTTACTCAGATCCCAGAAGAAAAGCATCAGGAGTGTGACTTGCATGTGAAAGCACACAGAAAGGCAAGCTCTGATTTCCAGTTGATCCACTTCTATCTGATCAACAAGCTGCAGACTCCACCTTAGCTCTTTTSTGGGTAGTGCAGAACAGCTGTGGCTACACTCTCCACATGTGCACTATATTGAAGGAGCAGGAAAAAAAAAAAAAAAAACCACTCCTGAGCCAGTACTGCTGTTCTGGATGAGGGGAGCATAACCACCACCTCACAGGCAAGCGTGTGAACAGTTTATACTTTGATTTCTCCTTTTTCTCACTAACATGTCATAAAGACCACAGAGTACTGTAAATAGAATCACACTGTTCGATCCCAAGAGCAGATGCTTCAYACTCACTGCAGCTGGATCTCTTTGCAAACATGCTCAGCACTTCATGCTTCTCACACCAACGGGCCTCATCAGCTGTCTCTTTCCTTCAGGCTGTCTCTGTGCAAACACTACTGCCATTTAAAATTTTTACCTTCAATTTAAAAGCGGCATCCAACCATTCAATGACATCAAACAGAGTGGTCTTTCTAGCCCACTTCAAAATCCCTGTTACACTAAACATTTGACTGCACAAACCTGTTTGACATTTGTCTAACTCCTTCACACAGTAAGTATGTGATATTATGAGAGGGGTCTATTTACAATAAATTTGTGCCTGCAAATGTCACTCAGGCATCATCAGTAGCATTGCTGCAAAACATCATAGCATTCTGCGAATGAGGGGCTGGAAAGGTTACATTGGGAAGTATAGCAGATTATGTAATTTACTCAACTGCATTCGCAGCAACTATCTGGGCAGAGATTTGCTCTAACCTTTCAAAAGCAACATTGTCAAATACAAGAGATCCCAAATTTAGGGAGTACTCTCACACAGCAGGGAAGCAAGCCTGACTAGTTTAACAAATTCCCAAAATTATGGTAGAAATTAAAATCTCACTCAAAACACACACACACTTGACACCTTAATGAGAAAAATTTTAAGCAGCTCTTCAGCACATTTTTACTTTCCACAGCTTGTGGTTGACAGAGATGGAAGAGAAAAGCTTGACAAGCTTCAGGTCTTCTAGGACTTGTGACTAGCTCATCTGGCTTGTGCATTGCTTTGCACTGTAGCAGACATTGTTGCTACAAACTGGAGTGCACCTTGCAGAGCCCCAACAATTTACAGGTCACGTCACGCCCACATTGATTGGTACTTTCCAAGACAGACAAGTGTTTTATAAGAGCAGACTTGCTAAGGATAGAGTAGTAACACACTGAAGAGTTGTTTCGCTAACACAAGGCACAGTGAAGTGACTTCAAAAGGAGCATAACAGAGTTCCTCATATGCTGCTACTCACTATTTTTTAGGTTAATTGAGTTCACTTCCAAGCAGAAGGAACATCTCTTTGCCCACAACAGCCAGCTGTTACTGACCCCTAAGTCTCAGAGTGCTGGACTCTCAAAGGCAGCTCAGCAAGTTCTGAGACCCATAAATTGATAGATTTTTAAAACTCCGCCTGTCATGTCAAACCTCAGGTCCTTTTCATCTTTCCTACTATCACCACTACTAAAGATTCCATATCCATAGTGATCAGCTCCACTGTCTTCAGCAAACCTGCTTTAGTGTCACTGCATGAGCTTTGCAAATACAACTGTAAGGTGAGAAGAGCAAAGTATGCTCTAACTTCTTCACCACATATGGAGATAGGAATTTCCAGACAATATCCTTTTTCAATGTATTAATAATCACTGAAATTGAGATTAATTACCTTCTGATCCAGACTGTAGGCCAGAATCCACTCCTCCTGCTTGGGGTGGAAGAGTAAGCTCTGGATGTAGAAGTTCAGCCGGTACTTCTGGTAGGTGGCCCCTTCATCATTGCTCATCAGTATGCTGCTCTCAATCTCTGGGTCACTAAGAAGCATGATCTAAGGAGGGAAAAGGAAAGAAAAGAGTGTTATGGTAAAAGTGAAACTCAATGCCATTTAAAGGTGAAGTTATACAGCACTGATTCCTATTAGATGCATCCAGAATATTGCTAACAGTGTAAACAGCTCACAGGATTTCCCAAATAGTTGTTCTTTTTAGTCTGGTTTCCAGTTTTTCATGACTTATTGACTGCTTCAGTGATTCTTTTTCTTCTTMTTATTATTATTTTATCCAAAAATAGTTTGTGTGTGTGTGTATATGAGCATATGTGTCTATATAAACACAGATACGTGATCTCACATTTCACACTTCCAATCTATGCAGTAGATGCTCATTTGATACTCAGCAGAAACATAATTTTCCCCAAGCACAGCAAAGTATATGACCTCAATTTGCACAGGTAGGAAAATACTTTTGCACCTCCGATTTTAATTAGAAAACTATAGCCAATATTATAAACTGGGCTGATTCTGTATTATCAGATGCTATACTCTAAGTAAACGTTATCAAGAAAAACATTGGGGAAACATTAACACCATCTTATTAACATCTGGAGAAAACGACAACACGTTAAAGCAAATGCCAGCACCATAAAATAAAGGCAAACAGTGGGAAATAAATTAGAGCTGTGCTTAACACAGCAGGCTATTGATAGAGCAACTGAAACAAATACAGACACTGGTTTTCATCAGGAAAACAGAACCAGAACCTGCCTTTTAGCTACCTGCAAAACTGAGATTCAGTGCACTGTGGTGACATGGTCTTGTCCAAGTAAACTTTTCCTTATCCAGCTTCAGAGTCTCAACATCAAGACTATGATGGTGAGACACTTGAGAACAACTATTTAATTATAGAAAATCAGTTAAGAGGACTTGGTGTGTTAGACTCTTGCTCCAGTAAAATAACAACAACAACAATAAYAATAAATATTCATCACTTGTTTAATCTTAATTTCCTCATTAACTCTACTCAGTCACACAGTGAAACTCAGTGTAATGTAAATGTGTAAATGTAATGAAACTTCTCCATTTCATGTACAGATTTAACATACAAAAGAGGAGACGCATACATGTTTGAAGCTAATTTTTAAACACTTGTTCCCACATAATGAGCTATACGTACTGTGAGAAGAAAGGAAATCTGTTTCAGAGGCTTCAAAGTATTGTTGTTGTTGTTGTTGTTGTTGTTGTTGTTTCTGATCCTTTCCATTAAGAAATTAAAAAGCCCTTTAAAAACAAAACTGAATGTTGTCACAGGGTGAGGCCATCTCTATGAATTTAGCTTATTAACCTCCAGCATCTCACAAATACCACTTATCAGCCTCAAAAACCAGCTGCCACTGCTCACCCAGGAAGCCAAACAACAAGCCCTGAGAGAGCATGGGAGATGAGAAAACACTCCTGGRGAAGGGCAATGCCTTGGGAATAAGTCTTGGGACTAGGGCCCTCGTGGTTCCCACCAAGCGGCTTTGATGTGATTCTTCTTTCTAATCAGATCAAAACACACACTTCATTTTGAGCTAAACAAGACTGGTTTCCCTATTTTTTAGCTCATTTTTAATTTCTATTACTAGTGGCTTAAGACTTCAAAGGCATTTTGGCCCCTAAGTATATCCCTGTCCATCAAAACATGTTGCCTGTGTCAGAGAGAGAATCATAATATACTTTCCTAGTAAAAATTGCTTGCATCTGCAGAATAAGAAAAGCATGCGAGACTGCCAATATACCAAAATATTCCAGAGGGACCTTATATTTAAGAGAGAGGTTACTATGGGGATAAAGAGATTTTCCATCTGATGTCCCAGAAGGTTACAGAGTTAATAACACCATGTTATAAGGTCACTGTCAGAGCTCTGTCCTCAGCTACAGAGCGTGGGGTGGTTTGATGCTGCATAGCCCTGAGGGAGTCAGTGCAATGCGACAAAATCCTCTCTACCCTTTCACACGTGGTCAATGACACAGCAGTGGGTTGCTCAAGAAACAGCTCAGCTGAGATGGGAAAGGTGTTGCTCCCACCAGAGGATTCACAAATCCAGGCAATTTGCTTCCTAGGGGCATAGCAGGGGCTGCAAGACAAAACTGTAAAGCCACTAAGCTAAGAAAACTATCAGGCAGCCTTGGTGGGAGAAGAAAGAGAAAGCAGTAAGAGACAGACATCTGTGTCTTGCTGTAGGCACCTCAGYTAGATGCCCCCACTGCCTTCACCCCACTGCCTTCACCCAGTGTTGATAGCTGCTCCTGCAGCCTTTCCTTCACATGCAGAGAACCAGTTTTTGCCATCAGTGAATCTCTCCTACTAAGCAGCCTTCCAGAAGGAACAGGGGACACAACTGGAGCAACGAAACAAGAGGTCCCTGGTTTGCCCCTAGGACTGGTCTGCAGTCTTGTTATCTCTGAAGTGACACAGACACGTGGCAAGCAGGGCAATAACAGTGGGAGGTTCGTGAGGGTTTTTTTTTATTATTGTTTGTCTTCTTTCCACTGGAAGGAGGGACAACTTTTGGTAGGTGAAATAGTAGCACATTTGTCAAAGGCCTGAAACTGCCACTTCTTATTATGGGGCCAGGGTGAAGGATCCACTCTAGGAGTGATTTAGATTAATCGCTTTTCATTAAGAGCCAATAAACAAACTCCAGTCAGRAGGAGCATTTCTGCCAGTGCCCTGCGTTGCCATTTATAATTGCCATAGGGAACGGCAAAGGAGCACCAGAGAGTTGTCAAATGTAATTTATAGGTTTTTAAGATCTAATCATTTTCTGTAATATTAAATTAAATGGCAGCCTTTATTAAAGAGGAAATTACATTTCACCTTGCTACATTCTAGAATATATAATATTATTTTCAGTTGTTGCTTTCTCTAATGCAAGCGGAGAGGGGAAGGGGAAACAGGATTGATTACGGTTAAGGGGAAGTCCTTGAAAACGTACTTGAGATGAGATGGTTTCTACTACCTCCCTTTTCCTCTAGAGTCTATATAGTTTGGTCTCCAAAGCGTGGTTGGCAACGGAAAGCAAGGACCAAAGCAAGACAGGCTGAAAAACAAAAATCTGACAGAACTGCAGGTAACTCCATGGGAGGCAAATGCGAAGAGGTTTTTGGTACGTGATACAAATCTTTTTATGAATGTTCATGGGACTAAGATGATACTCAGGTTCAGCAGTTGAGGATGATACTCAGATACTGATACTCAGGAGATACTCAGTTCAGCATCCAGTTGAGGATGGTCATTTCTAAGTTTAGAGAGCTACTGAATAGCACTGAAGTAGGAGATTCAGGGGCAATGACAACACATGCAGAGCGCCCTGAGGGGCTCCAGTCCAGCCCAACTKCAGGAAAGGATGACACTTTTGAGGGGTTGCAAGAACAACATAAACCATAACAGGTTAATCAGATCTTCAGGAAGTCATAGGACTGATATAATAAAAAATTAAAGCACAATTTTTATCTAAGAACCCRAGCTCCTGCTACTCAAATTAGAAACAATTGTGCCCTTTCAGCTAATACAAACACCTTCCCCAGTGTTGCTTTCACATAGGGTATGTCCAGGCGGATGAGTAAACAGGATTGAACATTCCTCTTCCTCTGCTCCAAGGTAGCAATATAAAGCATTAAATACAGCAAAATACAAAATACAGCACACGGCTCATGGGCACAGCGCTACATGAGACTCTCACTGGCTCAGGGCTTCAGGCAGGTCGAGCTCCCATCTGCCTGGAGTTATCAGGTTAAGGACCTGCCTGGCACAGGGGACAGAACCGAAGCATCTCCAACCCTTCAGCCCGTTCCCACATCCCTAGCACCAGGTTCCACAGCTTCTCCTTGCTCTCTGGCTCCGTCTTCTCCCCACACAAGAGATCTGTTTTGCATGCAGCAAAATCTTTTAATAAAACGCCTCTGGACAAAAACTGAAACAGCCTGCCATATAAAAGGCATTTTTATTAATATTAGCTTTCATTGAACCCCCTTATTTTACTTTTTCCAACCAACATAAATTTTGATTGTAAATTACCAGTGCACATCTCTTTAAATCAGCACTGAGAAGTTTTATAGGTACAATATCTGCAGCAATAGTACCACTGAGCTACATTAGCTGGAAGCATCACAGTAAATGAATAAAGGAGACAGGTCCAAAATAAATGCCTTTTGTTCCCAGAAATAAGTAGATAGCATTAAACCATTATGCACTGCCTTCTGATTTTCTTCTTCACTTTTAATGTACTTTTCATAAATGGCCCTTTTTGGAGTTCCCAGACACATTTTCATTTGCCAATATAAAGTGCTCTTTTAAAAAGAAATAAACAGAACATTAAAAAAAAAAGTCACTCTACAAACCACACGGGCCTCCATACAAGGAGAGAAGCTACAAAGGATCCCGTTTCCACTGTATGAGTAATACGCACTGGATGAGTAATTTGCTCGGTGGCACCACATTGTCCTGTTCTGCAATTGAAAAAGTGCTTCTGCCACAAACTGCTGCAACAACACAAACTTAAGGTTCCCTGTTTACAGCTTCACAGTGATTGCTGTATTGAAAGTGCTCTGCTTACAAGCGAAAAGAAGGTTTTTCTCTCCACTAAACCTTCAGCTCAAGAGCACATGAGATCCTCTCTAAAGTCAGTCAGGATTTTTAACATAGAACATTTCTACCATGGACATGACTATATGTAAATTGACAGTAAGAAAATATGAATCTGATCTAAAAAAAAAAAAAAAAAAAGGCTTTTTTCTCCTTTCCCACTTTGACTTAAAATATTTACAGGATCATAGGATCCCGCAGGACCTCTGGAGTTAAGTCGGCTCTCCCACATAATTTCATATTAGCTTTAAGTTTAAAGAGCCAAAAAGTTTCAACACTTTACGCTGAAATGTCAGTGCAGAGGATTTTTGCTTTGTTTGGACTTATGATGTCCTTTTATCTTTTTGAAACTGAAAAACCAAAGTGAAATGACATTTAAAGGTTTAGAGATACAAAAATCTCTTTTTTCCCCCCCTTCCTTCAA